GCCGCACAAGCAGCAGGCAAGCACAAAGAGCAGGCAAGAATATCCATTTGCACATACATGGGAGCTAAGTGGCATGTGCAAAACCATTCCCTCCCCCCAAAGCCAGAAAGGTTGGGGACTGCTGCCATACAAAAATTTTAAAGAGATTTAATATGAAATACTTATCTTTTTTCCAATTATTAATCAGAAACCATAATTAAGCTTGTTCAACTGATGGAAAATAAAAACTGGTTCATTTCAGAATCCTACAGGTCAAAAGATATGGAAATGTGCTGAAATGGTGCAAGATACTTCTTCCTCTCTTGCCCACAAATCCTTTTTATGCCCAAACCAGGTGAAATATGGATTAATATTAACCTATAGTAGTTGCAGAAGGAACAAATCTATGACATATTCTCAATGCTTTAGTAGATCAGAAATTACACATAGACAAATACACAAAAGAATATCTAAAATTCTACTGCCTGCTAGGTGACTTATCAATACGCACACTTACTGGTTAAAAAACAGTGTTTGGTGCCCTAGTAAATAATTACAATTTTAGATATGCAATTAGGAAAATAATATTGGAGTATAAATTGAGGAGTTGTAATTCTCAAGCAGAACAACTGAGAAATGCTGAACATTTTTGTGGCTGTGCAGAAGCATTAAATATTCTGAGGGGCACTAAAATAAAAAAGAAAAAGAAAGAAGAACAAGTATAGCCCATTTGTCTGATGGCCTCTGCAGGAGTATGAAAATATTTAATCTACATTGATTAGCTTAATAATTAGAATTCACAGCTAGTGCCAGCAACCAATGAGCATTTTAGTGCTACAGTGATGCCTTCAAGGACAGTGCAGCCTCTAAACAGCTTAAATCATTGTGAATTTTCTGGTCACATCTTAATGAAAATTTCATTGCTTCTTCCTTCCTTCTCTTCATTAATTAGCATCAAGGTGTATACATCTCTGGAGAGTTCCTAAATCTCAATAAAAGATTGCTATAATCATATATCAAATTGATTTCAAGCTCTGACAGCACCAGCCTTGGTCAGAGACACAGTTTATAATCAGATTTTACACAGCCAAATGTCAAATATTACAATTCATAATAAAACTGTTCGTTTTCTACCTCACATATTATAATATTATTGGCCTTACAATTAAAGTGCTGTTTAAGAATGGTTTATGATCAGCATCTTCTAGAGGAATTTGAAGCAAGAAATCAAAATATTCTATTTTATATTCTGATCATTTTTAATCAAAGGATATATAATACAGTTCAAAAATATGTAAAATCAACATTTTGCCAAAGGTAAATCTCCAGCTCCGTGAAGCAGGAAAGTCTATTGATTAGCACTAACCATTTTATCATTTGCCAATTCTTCCTTTTATCTGTACCTACAATCTGCTTTTCTTTGTATTGCTCACATAGAGAAAAAAAATATTTGATAATGTGTTTCAATGAACCTATTAAAACTTCCATCAAAAGATTTGCATTTGCTTTAATGTACATCAATTTCTCACTTTGGCATTGGTTACACTACACAGCAGCAAATATTGATCAGGGATTTTTCCACAAATTGTATTTAACTATTGTGATATCATATAAATAGAAAGTTGACCTTTTTGCTTTTTGTATGTGTGTCTGATTTTGGTCAGTCCCAACCTGGTTTGATTTTCAACAGACTGTTTTGATTTCCTTTTATGGAACTGATGCTAAATCTGCTGCACCAGTAACTATGTAACATAATACTGTAGAGCAGGACTGCAATCTATTCAAAATTCAATCAATTCAATAAAATCAATTAAAAATAAAAGAGCAGCATATATGATAGTTACAATCTGTAAGAGCTGTAGCATCCCATTAAAACATACTTGCCAGAATTTTACAAACTTAATGGTCCACCTATAAAAAAAAAAAAAAGCGAGATGTGCCCAACTTTGGAGGTAAAATTGTAATTATTTGAATTTTAGGTACTCTCAGAGGCAGACTATTCAAAATGTTTTAAAATAAGAGATAGCATCTCTTATCCAGCCTCTCTTCTAAATCTATACACTTTAAGTATTAATAGTTTTACTAATACAAAACTACTGTATAGTTCTGTTATTATTTATCCATGACATAAGATGAATATTTCTTACATCACAGAAGGAAAATATAAGGCTATTTGAATATAATTTAAGGCTATTTGAATATAATTTCAAATAGATTTCCATAATGGGAGACTACACCTTATCTCCAAACTTCTAATCAAAATCCTATATAAAATTTTCTATTCTATTAATCTTAGCCTGTTGTACCTGAGGAAACATTTCAGCTATGACAGTTAAGCCATTTATATCTCTTTTTTTTAAACTGCCATCAATCATTTGCAGAACCCACCTACTTCACCTATCAGAATGTTCCTTCTGTAGCCCCACCCCTTTCCTTGTTTCAAAGAGGTTTCCACCTGGACAGTTATTGTTCTTAGGCCTGTAATTTATTCTAAGCCATCTCTACTGGTTGCCAACCCCCCTAACTGGTTTTAAGAACTGTGTAAAGAACTTATGCAAAAAGAGGCCCCTTGCATCTGTGATGTGGATTGTATAACCATGATTTATCTTTATTTCATATATTGAAACTTATTTATGATTTCTAGAATGCAAATCTAAATTAAATTTGTGGCTCATTTTGTAGAAGAGTCAATAAAACCTATTTGTATATGTAACTCTTACTAATAAAAGTTTAACTGTGATGCTGCTTTTAGATGGGAGACAAATTTGGCAATGAACATAAAGTACTAAAGATTTGGATTTAATAATTTTGGAAATTAAATCTGTTCTGTTTGGCTATCATAACAGTGATAAGTAGTCAATCTTGTGCTAGATACAATTTTCTTTCTATAAAATATAAATATTTGTGTGTTGGCTGGGGACATCTGCTTTCTACTTTGCAGCACAGTATGCCACAAGCAAACCTTAGATATTAATTTAAATCAATAAATAATGTTTTAATTAATCATGTATTTGTGTACTGTTGAGATCTTCTATGGAATTCACAGTTTTGTTTATTTGTCCATTTAAATTTCTATGCCAAAAAATCTTTGTCTGGCTTAGAGTCTCCTCACATAAGCATTACAGTGAAAATCATTCAAATCATGAGCAACAGCAAACACTCGCAACATATTTTTTGTCTAAAGCAGCAAATGCACCAACACTTTGGAATAATTAAACATTTCATCTCTTCCTCAAATGTTTTCTGGAAGAGACAAATCTTTAAAGGTTTTCAAAAACTTAACAGTGAAGAAGCAGTCCTTACCTCTGAGAGGATTCCATCACTAAAAACAACACTTTGTATACTTTCTGATTTCATCAAATGGGCAGATGCCACTTTAGCAGCACATCTCTGAGATGCCTAAGCCACACATTATGTAAGGTTTTAAAAGTAATAATTAACACCTTGAATTACACCCAGAAGGTAGCCAGCATGCAAAGAAGCTCCTGCTGTAGAACTGTCACATGGGCAAATTTCAAAGTATCCATAACTACCTGGGATACTGCTGAACCAGCTGCAGGTTGCGAGTGGTCTTCATGGGCAATTTGGAGAATCAGAGACAGGACCCAATTGCCTTGACTGCTAACTGGCAACATACTATTTCCTTTATTCTTGCGAATAAGGAACAGTCCTACTATTTAAATGGGATAACTGATATTATTTTGAGATTTGTTCTATCAAAAGGACTTAATCATAGTCATGTCAGAAGCACTGAGGCACTTCCAGATTGAAAGGATTAGCCAGTGACATCACCATTGCCCAGGGCACAGGTCGGCAACCTGCGGCTCCGGAGCCGCATGCGGCTCTTTAAGCCTTCCCCTGCGGCTCCCAGCCTCCTCTGCCTTTGCAGAGAGAGACAGAGACAGAGAGAGGAATTGCGCTTCCCTGCTTCTCTCTCTCTCTCTCTCTCTCTCTCTCTCTCTCTCTCTCTCTCTGTGTGTGTGTGTGTGTGTGTGTGTGTGTGTGTGTGTGTGTGTGTGTTTGTGTGTGTGTGTGTGTGTGTGTATAAAAAAAAGAGAGTGCACTCACAGTGTTCTCCGAGGAGCTGAAAAGCTTACTGGGCGGAGCTCCCCCCTTTGCTGCATCTCTGCAGGAAGCAGGAAGGGCAAGAGAGAGCTAGCTAGCCCAGCTAGGCTGACTCAGGAATTCTGGGAGTTGAAGTCCATGAGTCATAAAAGAGACGAGGTTGACTACCCCTGATCTTGTTGGACAACAGCCTGAAGCTTGTCAGGTGAGCAGCAGATAGGAGAGGGGGGGGAGAGAGAGAGGGAGAGAAAGAGAGAGAGGGAGAGAGAGAGAGAGAGAGAAAGAAAGAGAGCGGGGGAAAAGGAGTGGCAGACCAAGGGCAGATAGAGAGGGAGAGAGAGAGAGAGAGAGAGAGAGAGAGAGAGAGACCCTTTTGACATCTAAAATGAAGATAACACTGCATATATCCTTTTTTTACGTGTGTGTGTGTGTGTGTGTGTGTATACATACATACATATACATATATATATATACACACACACATACATACACACACACAAACACACACACACCTATAATAAAGGTAAAAAAGGATATATGCAGTGTTATCTTCATTTTAGATATCAAAATGGTTTTGCGGCTCCCAGTGTTTTGTTTTTGGTGGGAAACGGGTTCAAGTGGCTCTTTAAGTGTTTTGGGTTGCCTACCCCTGGCCCAGGGGATGCTCAGGTAGGGGTTTCTTTCATGTCCCTGGCAGAAGCTGGAGCAAAGGATGAGAGCTCACTCAACCACACGGCAGCACTCGGATCTCAAACACAGTCTTGCTAACCTCCAACCCAGCATCATAATCATGTGAGCCACCATACTCCTTAAGGTCTTAATTATATGGTGTGTCATTGCATAAGAGGAAATTCTATACAGGAAATCACAGAACATAGTGCAATTCTGGGCATAAAGAAATTTCACAATCACATAAGGCTGTAAAATGACATATCACTTAAAAAAGAAAGAAAGAAAACCACAAGTTTTAACTAAGCCTATACCGAACACTTGAGTTCTTCCATGTCTTGTGGTTTTCATCTTAATTGTATGACAGGCGGAAGTTTAAGGTGGAGGAGAATACCAACGATAAAAGCCTCATGAATGATTCTCAAACTTATTAGTCAAGGGCAAGAAATTTTCTCATGTGTTATGGAACACGTCCACCATAATTTGATATCTTGAAACCTGTGCAAGTGGGATCTAATAAACAGAAACAAATCAGAGATTTTACTTGCCTAGAGTCTCCTAAAGGTATGTGATCAATATTTGTGTAACGTCTTTAAAAATAGAACAAACAGAACTTAAATGAAATACTGCAGTATGGAGAATCTCTGTTGTTTAACCCGACAGCCATTCTTTCTTTCAGAATAAGGTTCTAGAAAAATATTATTTCAGGATAGGATTCCAGCTCAACTTTTGGGTGATTCTGTCATGCTTGGGTCACAAGTAATTGCCACTGCTATTTCTCTTCTTTCTCTTTCTCCTTCTCAGCTTTTATAGATTTTAAAGAAAAGAAGAGCAATTTTGATCATATTGACTGGAGAATTCTGGGGATTGAAGTCCATAAGTCTTAAAGTTGCCAAGATTGGACACCCCCAATCTAGATTTTAACTAATGAGCTAACTGTTAATATTGCTAACTCCTGTCCAACTTTCTGAAGCTATTCAAGAGGTTTATTTGATGTTCAGAAACTTTATGTCAATCCACTCCGTGAGATTTACAGCCTCGTTAAAAAAAATACTGTTAGTACAAAACCTAGAAATTCTTGCTGAATTTCTTTCTAATTCTAGAAAGTCAAAGAAGGAAATGCTTTGGTACCTTTCTGATTTATACGTTGGTACAGTTTCATTATCATGATTCATTAGTCTTAATAAATTCAAGAACATATCATACTTTCCTCCTCCTCTACTTTATGCTACACATTAGCAGTGAGAACAATTAATACTTTTGCTTTCTGATATATATCTGAAGATAAGTAATAAAACACATTCATGGAATAAATAAATAATTGCTCTAAATTCAAACTGCTAGACAGTATTCTGTATTTTTTACTTATACTGTATGTTTTGGTATGCTTGAAAATCAACTGGGCATTCCACGTTTGCATCTTACAAGCAAAGATATAAGCCAGACATATTATTACATAGGGTTTCTTGCTCTTCTGTGGTTTATTTAAAAGACCAAGACAGAATTTCTTTCTGCTATTAGTTTTAATGGCTGATCTTTCCCATTATTTCTGCCAGGGAAGCTTCCAGGCCCTCTCTTAGCAAGAGACTTTTTGGTTCCACCTTGATTTATATGATATGTGACAATATTATGCATCTTTATATAATCTGAAATAAAAACAATAGAAAAAATTGTTTATATTAAATGGATCAAAATCATAGAATAGTTGATATCTTAGAAGTATGAGAATAGAAACTTATTCAGGCAATTCAAAATTTAAAGGTCTGCAGAAAGTCATTGAAAGCAGTGATTTGCAGCACATATAGTATGAACCAAGTACTTTTTTCTAAAACATTAGTCATGCCTTTTGCAAGGCTTCTTAAAGTGAACAAAGTTAGGGGCAGTTTGCAAAGCGATCTTGTAAGCTTTATAAATGGCATAACTTCAAGAAAGGTGATACATCATTCACAAGATAATAAGTTAGAGTGATGAAGTAAGCTCATTCAAATCAGGAATAAGCAGATGGGACTATTTTCCTGCTGGGACTCAGAGACCTAGGATGCCCAGTTTGATCTGTAACATCATGTTCATGAAGGGGAAAATGAGGTTGGGTAGTTGGTGCTTCAAATTCATTATGGAAATATATTCACTGATAGGAGTCATATAATTTGCTTAGAATATATATGTTTGAGGAATTATGATTGCCCATACTAAGTCTCCAATATGTTTACTGTACATACATTTTAATGTTTAATTAAAAGCTATTTGTTGACATCAGGTGGGCTATTTAATTTGTTTTTATGAGGAAAAATCTGTAAGCATGTATTTGCTGAATGTACTTCTTCCTTTCCCCCCCACCCCCATCCCCTTTCTTCTTTAGTTGGGAACTGAATGTTTTGCACTAATCCAGCCTATAATACTGTAGTTTTCACTGGACATTTTCTCATGGAGAGCTATCATTGGGCAATAAATTGTCAATCTGAGTCTATTGATCAATAGGCCACGCCTTGAGTTGGGGACAACACACTTTGTCAACATCTTCAAACAGTACTAAATTGTACTCTAGTTTGATATAGTTTTATTGCTTTATTGTTGTTGGCTATTATCCTGAAATCCATTTTACACTCTATTTTGAAGCAGGCTTAAATTTATGCAAAATGCAGCAAGATGATCATATTGCTTGGCTCAACCTGGCTCAAAAACAGTAACTGTGAGAGAGAACTTGGAGTGCTAGTGGACAATCACTTAAATATGAGCCAGCAGTGTGGAGCAGCAGTCAAAAAAGCTAAAACAATCCTTGATTGTATAAAAAGAGGCATAGAACTATTAGTACCACTTTATAAAACCTTAGTAAGACTACACCTGAAATACTGCATCCAGTTTTGATCACCACACTATAAAAAGATATTGAGACTTTGAAAAAACTACGGAGAAGAGCAACTAAGACGATTAAAGGCCTGTAGATGAAAACATGTGAAGAACAGTTGAAGGATGTGTGTTTGGCTAGTCTAGAGAAAAGAAGGATGAGGGGGAACATGATAGCAGTATTTGAGGGGTTACCACAAAGAAAAGGGGGTCAACTTATTTTCCAAAGCACCAGAGAGGGTAGGACAAGAAACAATGGATGGAAACTATTCAAGGAGAGAAGCAACCTGGAATTAAGGAGAAACTTCCTAATAGTGAGAACAATTAACCAGTGGAACAGTTTGTGTTCAGAAGTTGTGGGTGCTTCATCACTGGAGGTTTTTAAGAAGAGACTGGACAGCTAATTGTCTGAAATGGTATAGGGTCTCCTGCTTCAGCAGGGGGCTGTACTAGTAGGCTCCAAGGTTCCTTCTACTCTACTCTACTCTACTCTACTCTACTCTACTCTACTCTACTCTACTCTAATCTACTCTACCCTACCCTACCCTACTCTATTTCTTTAGTTCCCTTAATGACTTGGTTCCTTTCCCTGAGGGAGCTTTTCCTGGCTTAGTCCACCCTGCTTACATGCCTTCACTTTAGGTATGGTGGCTTTGGCCTAGTCTCACACATTCCTTCCCCTGACATCAAGTTCAACAGGAGACGTCACAAAATGGAGCTCACTCATCACCCACTCAGAGCATTACAGATTTTTGTATGTATTCTTGCCAGTAGGTTTGCTGTCTAGTTGACTTGGAGGTACAATATTTTAGGAAAACAAATCTAAAACACTGAAGAAATTAATACAAAGGCAATAATATAAACAGAAAATTTTAATAAATTTTCCTTCCTCAGGATCCCAAATCAGGTAAACCACAAAGTGAGCCAAGACCTGTTCCATCCCTCTGGATCTTGGAAGATGTGAGATGCTAGAGTCTTAAGCTTGACTAGTTTTGCTTCAGTGTAATTCTCATTTTTGGTTAGGTTAAAACAGCAAAGATCTTTAAAGGATTCGCAACCCTGACCTATTATCTAATAATAGATAATCAATAGCCTCACGATTTTGGATTATTGTAGTCCTGATATCAGTCATTTCTTCTGTCAGAGCAGCGATGAGGGACGATGTGAGGTTGTCACTTTTAGCCAGGTTGCACACCACTTTTCTTAGATCCATGTAGGCAAAGCACAAGAATAATCAGAGAATCTGATGCTAGTAACAGAAAGTAGTACTGTTGATAAAATATATAAGGCCAAAAATGTGAGAACACAGTTTGTGTTGCAAAATTCTAACTGATCTTTCTGAGAATTTTCTAATTGGTAGTGCTTGGTTAGCCCTCCAGATTGTTTACATAAATGTACTAATAAAAAAAGGAGTTTCAACAGGGCATTGATTTATCATGGTGGCCACACCTGCAAATTCAAATGAGATATAAAAAAGATGTTAAACATCTGGATTTTACAAAGAACAGACAGAATTTGATCAGATATTACTGACATCAGATGAAAAATAGATTAAGAAACTATAAGTAAAAGATGGAACAGGAACAAGTTAAAGAAACAATGATAATATGGGCAAAAAACTTTGGTCATAACATAGAGTTAGAAAACTGACAAAGCCTTTGGGAAAGAAATTCTAAAATAACAAAGGCGGAGGCTTACAAAGAAACCTTTATAAAATGTTTTACAGATGGCACTTAACACCTGTGAGGTTAGCGAAAATGTTTAAAAATATGTCTAGTAATTGTTGGAAATGTAGACAAAAACCAGGCACATATTATCATCTTTGATGGACATATCCTAAAGCCAAAAGATTTTGGTCAAGAATACAAATACGGTTAGAGAAAATGACTAAAAAACACATAGATTTTAAGCCAGAATTATTTTTGTTTGGTATAATTGTAGGAAATTACATGTGTTAACTGCAGCAAGAATTGTATTTGCTCAACATTGGAAAGATGAAGAATTACCAGCGGAAGAAGAGATAATTAAGAAAATTTTAGATTGTGCAGAAATGGACAGATTGACACTGAAAATGAAAGAGAAAGAAGACTCAGAATATTTTAGAACATGGAATACATTTTATCAATGGCTAGAAAAATGAGGTAAAGAGAAAGGAGCATAACATGTATTAGTAAGCTAAATGTTGAAACCCAGACAATCTGTTGCTGATAAAATATTAAGCATTTGTGACTATAAAAAATTGAAAAAATATTGAAAAAAAAGAAAAGGAGTTTCAGACCATTAGCATTCTCTTAAAAAGTCTAAAAGAGAACAAGAACAGTTATAAAATCTACCAATTTTGTGTTTTGAATGGAACCTAAGAACAAAAAGAAATTAATGTTGATAAGATTATTAAAGTATTTAACAGTTTAAGCAGTTCTGCAGTGTTGCCAATAAGCATTCTCAGGAAGGGTCAGAAAGTCAAGATAGAACTTGCAATCTTACAATTGAAGGCCTACCCCTTTTTTTACATGTGTTGCACATAGATAGGCCTTTGATTGCATTGTCATAGATGCCCTTTGTAGGTTCTCTTCCGTTGGTCTGATGGTTGTTTTAATTTGAACTTCTGCACTGACAGAATATTAGGCTTGATGGCCCAAATGGCCACTCCCAATTTTGTGATTCTGTTTCTGGAATGAAAATGATTTGATAAACAAAGCTTTTAAATGAATTGATTTGCT